AAAATGTCATCCCACAAATACGTTTAAAAAAAATATCAAAAACTCTAAAAAAATGCTTAATTAATTAAAAAATAATACATTAGTTTATATGTATTTTACACAAGTAAAAATGGGAGACGTATATATTTTGTACAACAAATAAAATGAGAAATATAGTAGGGATAAGGATGTGAAAATTAACGTACACAGCCATAAAGTGATTTATGAGTGGAAGTTGATTACTAGATCTAGTAAAATAACCCAACTAGTATGCTTGTTTGTTCGTTTTTAACACTATAACTACTTCCTTAACTTCCAACAGTATGTGATTAAATAATTTAACACTATAACTATAACTACTTCCTTAACTTCCAACAGTATGTGATTAAATAACCCAAGTCTAGATATCATAATGTAGGCCAACTACTGCGTTCTAATACTGTCCTGTCTATTAGTACTAGTGTTGTCCTCTGTACTAATACTGTCCAATGTTCTACAGCTGTCCTGTCTACTAGTGTTGTCCTGTCTTCTACAGCTGTCCTGTGTACTAATACTGTCCAATGTTCTACAGCTGTCCTGTCTGCTAGCGTTGTCTGGCGAACTGTCAAATGTTAACAGTTCCGTGTTCTACATTTGCTGCCCGTGTACCAGTGCTTTCACCTACCAACCAGTGTTATCAATGATGCCCTCTAGTCCAGATGCCCTCTAGCCCAGATGCCCTCTAGTCCAGATGCCCTCTAGTCCAGATGCCCTCTAGTCCAGATGCCCTCTAGTCCAGATGCCCTCTAGTCCAGAAGCCCTCTAGTCCAGAAGCCCACTAATACAGATGCCCTCTAGTCCAGATGCCCTCTAGTCCAGATGCCCTCTAGTCCAGTGTTATCTCCTCTAGTTTATCCATATCACCTGGAGGCTGTGGGTACTCGGCTACTTTTGTTCTTGGTGCCATCTTTGCGCGGAACGCAAGCTAAACGAGTAAAAATGTGTAAAAAAAATGGCAGTTATAACCTACACAAAACCTTTTTATAGCAGGACACACAAAAAAATAACTTTAGTAGGACATTAGAAAAAATAACTTTAGTAGGACATTAGAAAAAATAACTTTAGTAGGACATTAGAAAAAAATAATTTTTGTAGGATACTAGACAAAATATCTTTAGTAGTACACTAGACAAAATAACTTTAGTAGGACACTAGAAAAAAAACACCCTAAAACCCTTGTGGTTTACTAGACAAATAGCTTTAAAAAATAAATATTCAAGTAAGAAACCCTGAGAAAATATCTGACATGTTTTTATTATTTTTGTAAATACATGAACCTAAAAACAGTTGACATGTATTGCTCCACAATGTATTTTAATAACACCAAACAAATAAATACTATGTGATATAGTATACAAATGCAAGAAGTAATATATAACCAAAAAATTCAGACAATCATAAATGTTAGATTGATACATCCAAAATTTCTGCTTATTTTAATGACAATTTAAATACACCCAAAACTTGCACCACAAAAATAATAACTCATCAACTACTGTTTGTCACCATCACAGAGTGTCACCACTGGGATCAGAGTGTCACCACTGAGATCAGAGTATCACCACTGAGATCAGAGTGTCACCACTGAGATCAGAGTGTCACCACTGAGAACAGCGTGTCACCACTGAGATCAGAGTGTCACCACTGACAGAGTGTCACCACCGAGATCAGAGTGTCACCACTGAGATCAGAGTGTCACCACTGAGATCAGAGTGTCACCACTGAGATCAGAGTGTCACCACTGAGGAGTGTCACCACTGAGATCAGAGTGTCACCACTGAGATCAGCGTGTCACCACTGAGATCAGCGTGTCACCACTGAGATCAGAGTGTCACCACTGAGATCAGCGTGTCACCACTGAGATCAGAGTGTCACCACTGACAGAGTGTCACCACTGAAATCAGAGTGTCACCACTGACAGAGTGTCACCACTGAGATCAGAGTGTCACCACTGAGATCAGAGTGTCACCACTGACAGAGTGTCACCACTGAAATCAGAGTGTCACCACTGAGATCAGAGTGTCACCACTGAGATCAGAGTGTCACCACTGAGATCAGAGTGTCACCACTGACATCAGAGTGTCACCACTGACATCACAGTGTCACCACTGAGATCAGAGTGTCACCACTGAGATCAGAGTGTCACCACTGAGATCAGAGTGTCACCACTGAGATCAGAGTGTCACCACTGACATCAGAGTGTCACCACTGACATCACAGTGTCACCACTGAGATCAGAGTGTCACCACTGAGATCAGAGTGTCACCACTGAGATCAGAGTGTCACCACTGAGATCAGAGTGTCACCACTGAGATCAGAGTGTCACCACTGAGATCAGCGTGTCACCACTGAGATCAGAGTGTCACCACTGAGATCAGAGTGTCACCACTGAGATCAGAGTGTCACCACTGACATCAGAGTGTCACCACTGACATCAGTGTCACCACTGAGAACAGCGTGACACCAAGACAAAAATCTCATTTAACCACATTCTTATAATCTGATCAATCAACCATACAATTTAGGTTCTATCAATTATCATCAACAGATCTTGAACTAAAAAAAAATCACCATCTCTGTATGAACTCTACAAAAAGTGTGTTCTTCAATTACACAACAAAATCACAGCCTGTATTTCTCTTACAACAAAATAAAAACCCTAAAGTTTCATTTCAATGGCTACTCACTTTTTTTTAATAGCACATGTCTGAGGTCACTGACCTTTTCAAACAAAACACAGGACTACTTTCTACATGCCACTGTCAGAATACTAGACTAAACTATTTTGATACAGCTCTTGATGCCTCACTGTTTTGTTTCCTTCATCAACAATTGTGAATGTTTTTCTTTTACAGGAACAACAAAGTAGATGGAATATCCAGGGGAGCTAATGCTATCTATGAAGAATTGGTCTACTTGGATTATCTTCTCCTTGACCTGCCAGTTCTTCTTCAGAGAGTGGGGCCTCGTTGTCTATGTTGAAGGTGGCGTAAGAATACGGATACTCTCGAACCTTTTGCCGAGACTTCCGATTTAGTAGAGCAAGCTAAGACAATAGACAAGTTTCATTTTCATGCAGGTTTTTTTTAAGTTTAACCATCTAAAAAATTTAATCTTTAAAAAAAAAAATTATTTTGGCACACACAAAAAAACATCAATTAATTTAATTTTCTATGCTTTATACAGTTGAATGAAAGTATGATTTTAGAGTCAACTAAAGTAAAAATGTAAATAAAAATAAACCACATCAATCAATTTCATGCTTATAAGTAGTCTAATCATGCAATGTTTGATAAACAAAACAAAATAAATAATGCATGAAAATAAACAAATGCCCCCAACATAGATATCAATAACCTAATAGAAATCAGTATACAGGAATGTATAGAGGTCATAATATATTATATGTAAAAGTAAAGTAATGCTCCCTTTTAGACCAGATGGGCCATGTGGCAGATGAGGTAGATGATAAGTTTCTTTGACCTCACTATATGAATGGATAGTGTGGTCAGCACTATGTCTAGTTGTCTTAACTTTCCCTAACATGTTACCTGGGTCTACTACAAAACTTTGAACTCACCATATGAATGGACAGTGTGGTCAGCACTATGCCTAGTTGCCTTAACTTTCCCTGACTTTTCAGCTGGGTCTTCTACAAAACTTTGACCACACCATATGAATGGACAGTGTGGTCAGCATTATGCCTAGTTGTCTTAACTATCCCTGACTTTTCAGCTGAATCTTCTACAAAACTTTGGCTCAAGATCTGAACTCCAGATTTGTATAAGTAATCAAGAGATGTACCATGCTGTTCCTTTGTTGCACTGTAGCTAATCATTGTATGGGTAGCTATAACCACTACCTGGTTAACTGAACCACTCCGTAATAGAATATCCAAACATTAAGCAGTTACAGAACAAACAAAAAAACTTGAACAAAGTGAAGCAAAACATGCTAACTTGTCAACCAAATGAATTATAAAAAGAGGCAACATAAATGTATCTAAATTTGTTGCGCAACATGCACCCAAATAAATACATATTTCATTTAAAAATAGTTTAAGGGGTGTAATTTTAAAAACTACAGCTTTTCTACCTTTTAAAACTTAATTACGAAAATATTTAAGCAATGTTTAAAAAATAAAAAGCTATGTCAATAAAATTTTCTCAAAAGCAATTAGCTAGATTAACTGTTTTAAAACTAATCATACCAACAAAATTATTTTAAAATGTTATCAGAAATTTGTCTAAAATTATTTTAATAGGCTACATAATTACATGTTCAGCTGATTAACTAGCAAATATAATTTTCCTACAGAATATTACTACTACCAATTTAAACCCAAACATGGTTGCTAGCTCCAGTTCATACAGTTTAGATATTTAGATTAAAATGTTCAATCAGAGTAACAGACCAAAATTTTAAATGTGAAACAAAAAAACTTTTGGCATGCATTAGAAAATGGAGAGATGGAACAAGGAAAAGAAAAATTTACTGACCTTGATTTCACTTGGTCGCAGTTTTGACAGTGTGTCTTTATCTACGCCAAATGCAATGGCATTCAGAGCTCCTACAAAGTGAAACAATTTTAAACTGCTATAAATTCCAACAAATTTAGACTGCAACAAAATCAAACAATTTCAGGCAGCTGCATTATTCAAGGTCAAACTTAACCATGTCAATACAGGTCATGGATACTTCAGTTAACCTAACATTCAGAGGAGTAAATAAAAAATACAATTGCTGCAAATGATCAGGTATGTTAAATTCTGATGTATTTGTTTGAGGGAGGGGTCAGCTAATTTTAAAATTCATCACAACTACATTAAGTGGTCTGGATTATAACAATGGCTACAGGTTTAGGGAACAAAAGAATTATGAATGATAAAATACAAATATTGTGTTACTGACCATGAAGTGGGGAAAATATTGAAGAGAGTAAAACCAAAACAAATATATGGTAGTCTGGTTCTATGGCATTCTGGACTCTGGAAGAACAAAGAAAAGATCATTTTAGTTACAATAGTAAACAAGTACTAGAGTTAATGTTCTTTGACACAGTAACAAGTGAAGAGTTAAAAATATTATTATTAAAATTTTAAGTAACTAATTTTTAATTATAATTTCTGCTTAACAAATTGATGAGGAGTAAAATAATGGACAAACCTGTTAATTAAAGGGAAAAGTGAAACAGCCAAATAAATAAATGGGTAGACTCTTAGTGGTTTGATATCTTCTTTCAGCAAGTGCTAGAGGGGAAGGAAAAATGAATTAATTATATTTGGATATTGTTTGGGTCTTTAATGTTCAATAAGGGTACAAACAGAAAGGTGGTCATTATTAAAATGATGTGGTCAGTTGATTATCACACATGTCAACTATTACAGGCCAGTAATTATACAGATGTGGTCAGCACTTCTCTAGTGTGGCTAGTAACTCCCCCATTTTTAAAGATCAAGAAGTTATGGAGATCCTTCAATGGTTTCTAGCTAGGGTATGTTTTGAGTGAAACCCTAAATGTTCAATGTTAAAAATGTTTTTGTTTTGGTATAATAAAGCCTTGTTATACTTGTATCTCTCTGAGACTACCAATCAGAACACAATCAACCAATTTAAAATTTGGCACTTGACCAATCAGAATAGACTTTACTTACATGTTGCCTTTCTGTGTCTGGGTCATATGTCCCCTCCCAATTGGATGCCTGGAATGCAATAGAAAATAAAAATAAATAAATGCACTATTACAAATTCATGTGTTGAATATTTACATATAGAAAATAAAAAAAATTAAATGCACTATTACAAATTCATCTGTTAAATATTTACATATAGTTTATAACTTGTACACATCTTTTATTTGACAAGATATCCTGACCTTTTGTCTGAGGCTGAAGATGATGTAGCCATAAGCAAACATCATACACAGAATGATGATGAAAAGTGGCCCATACCAGCTAGAGAAAAAACAAAAATGTACATTTTACAGAGTTGAAACACATGCATTCACAACAAACAACATTAATTTGTGGACAACTGCATTACAACTAACAGTATATATACTTACACACCAACTCTCCAAGCAAAATCCTCTACAATCCAACTAAAAACAAACAAAAAAAACCAAAGATTAGAGTTCATAATTTGTTTTTTTACAAAAATCTAAAATTAGAGTTTTATTTGAGGTTTAATAAAAATATTTTTTTTAATCAAAAATCAAATGTTAGACTATCCCAGAAGTTGGAAGGTTTAAAAACAGAGCATGACTCACCACCAGGCTCCAGCAGGTCCATAGTGGTCACCAGCAAAAGGTAAACAGGAAATCAGAAGTGGCACCAGCACACAAACAGCCAGGTACAGCCTGCATATAGATCACAGAGATTCTATTACCTTAAAAGTACTATCTAGCTCTAAGTACTAAGGGAATAGGAGTTCTAAAATAAATCTGAATAAAAGTAAATATATTTGACTAACACAAACTAATTCTTTAAATCATCACTGCCAAAAATAACAGCTAGCAGAAACCTTGCTCAAATAGTTATGTAATCACAACTGTCTCAGACTATAAAATTACCAGTTTTAGTTTTTTATTTAAACTCACCATTCAAATTTCTCTGTTGAAATTTGTTTGACTGCATTCATGAATAAATTAAAAGTAATGCAGGAAACACTCAGCAAAACCACCCAATCTGGGAATAAAAGAAACCGAACAATGTGGCTAAGACAACGGTGTTCCTAAAGGCAACACAGCATTTTGGCAAGATTAAAGATTAGCTGACACATGTGTACAAGATCACATTTTACATACTTAAAATAAGCAATTTAAAAAATGTACATTTTTAAAAAAAACATTTAGTTACCAAAAAAAGTTAGCCACCATCCTTGAAAATTACATACTGGGCCATCTTCAATGTCTGCACTCTAAAATATATTTTGTAAACCTTTAAGTTTTGTATAGAAGTAGTAAAACAAAGCTTTAAAACTACACAGATATATAACTGACAAGCAAGTAAAGATAGGAGATTTATGACAACAAATTACTTGTTTTTCCAAAAGGAAATTAGAAAGAAAAATCATTGTTAATAAACTTGGTTTTTTTCTTTAATTTTGCACATGAAAATACATGCACCATGGGAAGCTTTACAACACGAAGAGGTAGCCAATATGACACTATGAGTTGACTATACCATTTACACTCACCATAAGATAGCCTATACTGTCCAGCATTGCGGCTATACTTAGATACAGGATCAAGCGCTGAAAGATAGGTAAACCACTAGAATATTCCAAGATTGAATCAATATTCAACAAAGACATTAAATATTTCAATAAAGGTGTCACATGGGATTTTCAACTGCATTACCGTTAAAGAATTGTTTATAACTTGATACCAATTCATGTTAATAATGAAAATCAGTAGCCTAAAAATACTTTTTTTCTAAAAAGAAAAAAAGGAGGTTTTTATTCTAAAATTGCTTTGTAATGTGTTTTCATTTTTTCCCTGCTGTTGACATGAGTTAAGTTGTAATACATAAAATGTACAATGAAGTACTTTAGCCCATTTAAATATATGGCAAATAAAATATGCAGGGCTTAGTAATAGTTGTTTGTTGTCTCGTTAATAAAGTAATTATTTTTGCTTTTTTCAAGTTCATGATGAAAATTTGTGTAGCACAAAAGGGATTTAATTTTCTATTTGTGAAACAATCTTTTGGTTGGGAACTTAAATAATTGTATATACAATGATATGTAGTTTTAATTTTCCATATACTAAACCTAATGGATACACTGCTGATGGAAAGTGTATAATAAATATAAAGCATTAGGTCTGTAGGGTTGTACACAGTGGCGGAACTAGAAAAAAAGGGTTCCCCCGCAAAGAAAAAATTAGGGCCCCCTATATATATATATATATATATATATATATATATATATCTATATCCTAACTGAGTAATTTAGTCTACTTCATTGCAATATAAAACCATTCTGAGAGAACAATCCAGACAAATTTGGTCCAAACTCATCTTAAGCTAGAAATTATCATAAACACTTCTATACATGCTGGTCAAAAATATATAAAGACGTAAGCTTGATTCGTGAATGGTTTCTCGCGTTATGTTTATTCTTTTCATTTTTGGCTTTTATAATATCAATTTTGAAAACATTGATTTTTATGGCTATACCATTGTTTATTACGTCTTATTTAAATAATAATTCAGAGAATTTAATTGCTTTTTAATATACATAGTACAAAATATTTAAATGAGCTTTGTGGGCATCCCTATTTTAAAGAAGGGCAGTAAGTCATGGAAGTAGTGTGAATGTTTGCCTACCTTTCAAACTATAGCTCTTGTAGATTATAAAATATTTTTCTACGCAACAATCTCTGCTATAGTAGACCTTTTTTTTTTTTTTTTTTTTTACAAAACCACTTTTAAGATGCATGAAAAACATAATTTTTGAAAAACAAATTCATTGTTTTTTGGTCGGAACTGGGCCCCTAAACGTCCTGGGCCCCCCCGCATTGCGGGGTCTGGCGGTATGGTAGTTCCGCCCCTGGTTGTACATGAGTCTGTGTTATATTTGAAATTAAGGCAAATAAATGCTGGCAAAAAGATTGCGTTGTGTATAGTCAGACAAAGGTTCTATGCTGATCTTAACACTTCTGCCACATTTGTAAAGATTGGAAAAACTGACCTGAGCAAAGACAACATATCTCTTGAAAATCCAGATGATGCATATCATGAACAAACTGAAATACATTCAAACATGTGTCAACAGACTTATTAAGTATTTTTGTTCGTTTAATTAATGAATGAACAGAATCATCAAAATAAAGTTGTTTTACAAATTTTCAAAAAGTAAAATATTATAAACATTAGGTATTATTCACTAATGACAGCATAGATGGCATTATACATTTTGTGATGTGAGTGAATGGGGTAAAGAAATTGAAGCTGGTATGTTTCATAAAAATAATCTATTATTGTAAAAGAGGGGGGGGGGGGGGGTAAATCTGCTTTTTTTTTTACTGCATGAGACAACAGTGGGTAAGGGCTTAAATTGCAGATGCTATTTGAGGAAAACCCTCTTCTCTCTTACCATCCTATGAAAGACAAAGCTCCTGATGTTTTTCTTAAAGAAATAATCACATCCTGCAAAAGAAAATATTTTTGTCAATCATAGCAGATAATATATAATTGTTTAGCTTTATATCTATATCTGGTTCTAAACAGCTATAATTAAAAAATCAAAGCAACTAAAAATGCAAGTAAATTTGTAAATCAACCAGAAGCACCATAGACAGGAAACATTATTATGATTGTAGGATTTTTAGGCTCTTTAAATTTATTTTCATGCAAAATGTATAGAACATTATTATTCTTTAATTGATTGTTTTAAAAATGTCCTAGATATTATATTAAGCCCAGGGCCTATACACCTGGCCTATGCCACTGTAAATGATTTATCTAGTTTAGTTTAGTGCCTAATGAATGCACAGAATTGGCCCATTGATTAAAATGTTATTACTTGACTGGCTTATGCACATTTTTTTATTGTTGGGTAGCTCTGCTAATAATAATATGTCTAATCTACTAAAATTCTAGGCCAGCAGAGGTAAATTAACTAGTTTCATCTAGATCTAGAATTCTAGCTTCCCATACCACTCAAGTGAGTTAGGGAGACACCCACTTCCCTTTGTAACAGTATTATGTAGATCAAGAGGACTGCACCATAATAATGCCATTAACAAAAACTAATATTTTGCTTACTTTTTTATATGTTTACTTACGCACTTATCAGGATCATTAGGAAAACTAGAGCATAGAGAAGTAACATTCGTCATTTCACGTTCAAATAAGAATTTGGCCTAGATCTAGATCTAGATCTAGATTCCAGTCTAAATAAGTAAATATTCTGTAAATCAGGATGTTAAACCATTTTTTGTTTGGTACGATTTTATATTATTATAATATAATAGTATAATAGAATCTAGGCCTACAGATTTTTAGATTTAGATCTGGTATATATAAATATATATATATATCTAGAGACAGTCTAGACTCTAGATCTAGATCAAATAATAAATATATCTAGATCTAGGCCTATACAGTGGAATATAGATTACTAGAAATATAATAAAGTAGATTCTACTTTTTTACGATATCAATAATTGTATTGTAAACCACATTTTTGTGAAAAGAAAGGCCTAACAAAATATGTATTTAAAAGTATTTAGGCCTAAATACAGCTTAAAATTATTTTTGCAACGATGATTTAAAATATATTTATTTAGATCTAGATCTATATTAAAATTCAATATGGTTGATTTTTCTACAAAAATATTTAAATCAATTAATAAGTAAAATCAATTTATTTTTTTATTTGTTTATATTTTTTGTATAGCCATAAAAAGGCATAATGGCACGTAGACTCTAGATCTAGATCTAGATCTAGATCTAGATCTGAAAACATGGTGACTAGCCTACATAAAGATTAGAAGAATGAGGTCTAACTCGGTCTAAGAATGAGTAATTTTAGATATTTGCTAAAAACAATGAAATTAAATGATGAAATGGCGGGATTAAATTAATATAGGAATAAAAATGCCGATATAAAATGTAACTGTCGTGCTTTATTTTATTTTTATTAGCAGCGCCGGACGCGGATTGCTAGTAGTATTAAAGTACTGGGATTCTAAGTTATAAATATAAGTTTGTAGATCCTACATTAGTGTTAGAAACTAGATGTACCATCAGAAATAACATTTTGTTTTAATAATCAAAAGCATCATGACAATTACACATTTAAAGACTCAAGTTAAATAGGCATGTAGCAGTATCTAGAAACCCGGTACAGAAAAAGTATTCATTGGAAAGGGAAATAACATTGAGTTGACAATTACTTTAAAAATTAAGATAGTTATCTTTCTTTCGGAGTTTGTGTTTAATTTTTATTACTTTACGAGCTGATATGCCACGTATTAAACGCCGCTATTTAGATCTAGTTGTTTTATTTTCTACTTTTCAGTACTTCATAATTAGTGTTTTTCGACACTAACCTCCCTTCCGTTTCCCCTCCCCACCCCCACCCCCACGGTTTACGTGGTGGTGTCTCGCATGGTCCCCATGAAGAGAATTACATATATAGATTCTTTTGGAATAAACCTAATTAAATTCTAAATAGCATTTTTGTAAACTACAACAATATCTATAAATAACTTCACGTTTTTAACGAGTAATTCCCTCCATCCTCCATCGTAAAACATTTACTCAAAAAAATAAAATGCCCCACCCCTCCATAAAATAATAAAACACATTGCCTTACCCCTAAATTTATTCTTTTTCTATAAGAACGGGGAGTTTTTGCAGAATATTTACAAGGCTATGACAGTATTAGATATATTGACCACATTTTATAACCATTTGTACAACAACGAAAAATCTCCAAATAATTAATCACTTTTCAAATTGAAAATAAACCGGGAGTGATCTCCCCTAAACTTTCTCGAATATTCTCATATAAAATTACGAGGGATGGCAACTCAGGACATCGACAATATTTTTAATTACTTAAACTTTTTTTATAATAGAATAGAATCTCGTAAAAAAAAAGAATTGACACCAAGTGAAAAGTTTCCCTTTCAAACCTGACGGTCTATGGGGCAAGTGAAGTAGAGTTCACTTGTTTCTGTGACCTTGGCATGTGAAGAGATAGTGTGGTCAGCACTATGCCCAGCCGCCTTTACTTTCCCTAACAGGAGTTAGGTACCCATCAGAGTTGGGTGGACTCAGGGACGGTCTACTGACTTGAACTCGGATTCGAACTCGAGACTAAGGGGTTAGCAGTCCAGCTCTCTACCGCTAGACCACTCCGTCCCACACCAAGTGAACGCCTAATAAAATGTGCATAAAAGTGCGGGATATTATTAGTACTTTATAAATTTACATGCGTTTTTTTGAGAAATCGGAAATAGCGTAAATTAGTACTTCCGGTCAACGGAAATTCCTCAAAATTTGACAGAAGGTAGAGAATTAGATCTTTTACTTACTTGTGAAATTACATGCATCTATCTACAAAAGTACGCAAGTTGTAGGCTTTTGAAAAATTCAAAGTAGAAAAAGTACCACTTCCGGTTATCGGAAATCGCTCAAAAGTTGATCAGGATGTACGATTTTGATAAATACTTATGTATGAAATTTTATCAAACTAGCTGTAACGGTACTCAAGTTATCGTGTTTACACACAGACACACAGACAGACATACGGACAAGATTGCAAAATTATGTTTTTCCGTATCAGTGAGGTGTAAAACGTCGAGATTTGTAAAAATCTCGATTTTTTTTGCACGATTACAATACTTTCTCTATACGAGAAAGTAAAAAAGTGACATTATTCTTTATGAACTCTCTCCCATGTCACAAAAGTTCGGACCCTTCCCCTTGCTCTTATGAGTGTGACGTCATTTATAGACAACCCCTATCACATTATCGTGAATTTCTCTAACGACTTTGTCTTATTTATTTCAGGTTTAAAAATGTTGAACGATCCTCGACTTGCATCTGTATTTGTCGCTAAATTGGCTTTTTTTTTACCTGCCCATACACTAGTTCTATGACAGCCTACATGCCATTATTCTAACCACAGAGGTAAGCTTTGAAAGTGTAAGTATTATTTTAAAACTTTTTTAATACTGTCAGTGATATAACCAACAGAACCCTTAATGAAGACTTAGGTTAGGAAGTCGTCCATAAAGAACATCACACACCTGATGGGTGTAAGGCTGGGGCGTCACGACACATTCTGGCGCCCTGGACAAACTATCCATTTTGAACCCTCAAACCTCCATTTAAATATAGTTCTTCACATAGACGAAAAAACGCCCCCCCCCCCCCACCCCGTCCATTTCCTGAAACCACCCTCATTTGGAAAGGTTTAGGGCGCTTGTTACCAGTCAGAATTCCTTATACCTTTTTTTTTTGGTGTCACACAATTTGTATAGGATTAGGCATAAACTGGTAAAGCCAAGAAGCAATCTATTTTCTTAATTTGAACTGTGCATAAGTTAGAATGCAGCTAAGAATGAGCTTTTATTTATTTCCTATCCTGTTTGGCGCCCCGTAATGTTAGAGCCCGGGGCAGACGCTCCACCCGCCCGCCTCTAGCTGCGCCTCTGGTGTGGTTGGTGCGTTAGATGTTTGTCATAAAGTGCTGTGAGGGGCAGTCCATGAAATTTGACGGTTTTTTTTTGACGATGTAGCGATATGTGATGGGTGTTGAGAGATTGGCAAAAAGCTGCTAAACGTTAATTTACGAGTACCCCTTAGTAGATCCCAATTATTTACCCGAATATTAAAAGTATCAATTAAATGGGACTGCAACCGTGGCCCCGGGGTACAGCCAGCACGGTACAGTGGTAGCTACACAGCCATACATAACAGGGTACAGTCAGTGGTAGCTACACAGCCATACATAACAGGGTACAGTCAGTGGTAGCTACACAGCCATACATAACTGGGTACAGTGGTAGCTACACAGCCATACATAACAGGGTACAGTCAGTGGTAGCTACACAGCCATACATAACAGGGTACAACCAGTGGTAGCTACACAGCCATACATAACTGGGTACAGTGGTAGCTACACAGCCATACATAACAGGGTACAGTCAGTGGTAGCTACACAGCCATACATAACAGGGTACAACCAGTGGTAGCTACACAGCCATACATAACTGGGTACAGTGGTAGCTACACAGCCATACATAACAGGGTACAGTCAGTGGTAGCTACACAGCCATACATAACAGGGTACAACCAGTGGTAGCTACACAGCCATACATAACAGGGTACAGCCAGTGGTAGCTACACAGCCATACATAACTGGGTACAGTGGTAGCTACACAGCCATACATAACAGGGTACAGTCAGTGGTAGCAACACAGCCATACATAACAGGGTACAACCAGTGGTAGCTACACAGCCATACATAACAGGGTACAGCCAGTGGTAGCTACACAGCCATACATAACTGGGTACAGTGGTAGCTACACAGCCATACATAACAGGGTACAGTCAGTGGTAGCTACACAGCCATACATAACTGGGTACAGCCAGTAGTAGCTACACAGCCATACATAACAGGGTACAGCCAGTGGTAGCTACACAGCCATACATAACAGGGTACAGCCAGTGGTAGCGACACAGCCATACATAACAGGGTACAGCCAGTGGTAGCTACACAGCCATACATAACAGGGTACAACCAGTGGTAGCTACACAGCCATACATAGCAGGGTACAGCCAGTGGTAGCTACACAGCCATACATAACAGGGTACAACCAGTGGTAGCTACACAGCCATACATAACAGGGTACAGCCAGTGGTAGCTACACAGCCATACATAACAGGGTACAGTGGTAGCGACACAGCCATACATAACAGGGTACAGTGGTAGCGACACAGCCATACATAACAGGGTACAGTGGTAGCGACACAGCCATACATAACAGGGTACAGTGGTAGCTACACAGCCATACATAACAGGGTACAGCCAGTGGTAGCTACACAGCCATACATAACAGTGGTAGCGACACAGCCATACATAACAGGGTACAGCCAGTGGTAGCTACACAGCCATACATAACAGTGGTAGCGACACAGCCATACATAACAGGGTACAGCCAGTGGTAGCTACACAGCCATACATAACAGGGTACAGTGGTAGCTACACAGCCATACATAACAGGGTACAGTGGTAGCTACACAGCCATACATAACAGGGTACAGCCAGTGGTAGCTACACAGCCATACATAACAGTGGTAGCGACACAGCCATACATAACAGGGTACAGCCAGTGGTAGCTACACAGCCATACATAACAGTGG